AACCTAACCAGACCCTCGGTGGCCAGAATACTTGTAGAAAGAGATATTACTTTACCTGATGTTACTGAAGTCTGGTTGGGCACAACCCATAATGGTTATTGGCAACAAATCGTCATGGAACACAAACCTCCATATTGTACCCACTGTAAGATGTTTGGTCATATCCTTGCTAAATGTCACAAACGTCATCCTAATTTGAAATCTAAGGTTCAAGTGAATAAGGATGGGTATAACCCTACTGATGTGGACATTTTAGTTCCACCTGAGGATGATACTATCAGACATGAGGTGTCTGTTGCCCCTGAGGATCTCCCCCATGAAACTGTTGTTACTGCTACTGCGAGTGATGAGATGTTGGCACCTACAAAATCCATACAAAATAATATTGATGGACTCTTACCTATAAATGATGGAGTTCAGACTCATAATCAGAAGAGCCTCACAACTCCAATTCTTCAAGAAGTATCCAGTGTAGCGGAAACTCATACTTCACATATTCCAGAACCTACTGTGGGTACTACTGTTGGTAATTCTTCAGCTCTACCCCATCAAACTGATTCTCCGGAGGAGGAATGACAAGTTTACACTTCCAGGAGGAAGAAGAAGAATGGAGATCTACTAGAGCTCAGGAGTTATGGATGATACTTTGGTTACTACGGGTAATGGTCAGCACCTTACCAATCTGCTAGCTGGATCCCTACCGAGAACTAGAGCCAGAGGCAAGTCTAGATTGGGATGACCCACACATTTTCAGCGACTGGGTGGTTTTTTGAATTTTTTCTTTTATTTCTATATGTACCCATCTTTTACTTTTTTTTATGTGTGTTGTACCGTATGAGTTGGGTGTTTAGGCCCACCCATACAAACATATTTATATTTTTATCTTTAATATATTAGCCCTTGGGCTTTTAAAATATATATATATATATATATATAAACACTTGAGATATCATTGATGTGAAGAGCAAGTTACAATTCTTAACTGGGGAGCATATAAAGCATCTCCAGCCATCAAAAAAAAGAAGAGGGGGAGGGGGGGGAGGGGGTGGAGCATAAGAAACAACTTTCAGCAGTATACAGACCATTCCTTGCAAGCCAATTGGCAGGTTGGTTTCCTTCCCTGTAAAATTTAGACATGTCTCTTCCTCTAGTTTTAGGAGCGGAGCCAGATAACAAACTTTGAAGAGTCGTGTCATTGTCAGGAGTAACCAAAGTATCATTCATTAAGTTTTCAAGTTAAAGTGTGCCCCCAGCCTTCTAAAGACTGGCTCATGTGATCTTCGATTTGATTTGATGTTAGAACTGCAGTAGAAGGAAAGAGAAGACTGGCTCATGTGATCTTCGGTTTGATTTGATGTTAGAACTGCAGTAGAAGGAAAGATATTCGTTGCAACCGCAATAAGCTCCAGTGTATGTGAAGTGCGAATTATTACCTCTGCACCTGATGCTTCCTAAATAGGAGCTGTGGGACTATCCTTATTTTTCGATTCAAACATTATCTTTGTAGTATGGTCAGGAGAAGGGATCCCATGGGCAGACACCAACTCCTGTCTTGTGGTGATTTTTTCCTCAGGTCAGTTGTCATCAGGTTTGCTGGGAGTGCGTTCAGGCACATGAGGTGCACTAAAAGTGTGTTCCTGCTTTTAACTATTGGTTCTCAACTGTGGGTGCAATCTGAAACATTTCTCCTGCAGGTGTCCAAACATCTTACAGTGCTTGCAATAGTAAGGTTTTTGTTCCATAATGATTTTTTGCCAATAACCATTGTGAGCAGATCCAAGCCAGACTTCTTCTACATTTGGTAATGTAATATCTCTTTTAATCAAAATCCTTGCAATAGAAGGCCTTGAGAAATAAACTGTAGGTAAGTCTACCTGCAAAGGTTTTCCAAGAATTGTCCCAATTCCATATAAGATAGGTAGGTCAAAGGATGGAAGCTTGAGCTCAGATAATGAGAACCACATAGGCGCAATTGGGGGTTCTTGACTGGGATCAAAATTAGGGGTCCATTTAAGCAATCTCATATATTTGCCATCGATTTTGATGAATTTCTTTGAGAGAATTCTCGTGTAATCTTCTTCTATACTCAAATGTATCATAACATGTCTTCCGTCGAAATGACCCACCTGTCAATTCCCAACCAATTTGAAATCTTCAAAAACCTTCCTGATGATCTTCATCTTAGGACAACCTAATTAGAACTTTCCAACTAGTGTAAATTTGTATTTTCCTGCACGTGTTGAAATTTCAGCGTCAGAGAAGAATACTGCTGGTTTGCTCATCTTTTTCTCTATTTTTTTATGAGATTGCAATCGTCATTTCCTACAACAAAATCATGGTACGTCTGCGGGAATACCGGACTATCTGCGAGGTGAAAAAGGGAGCTGCATTTGTGAACACTGTAGCATAAGAGGGTTTGCCCACCTCCGGAGTAGGTCCAGTCCCAAGAGAGGAAAGAATAGCTGCCATTAACTAAAGCATATAGGACCTTTGAATACCTCTGAAAGAAATAATTCTAAGGATGTTTTGGTGTCTGAGACACCTTGTCCTTTAGTTCCTTCACCTCAAGTTGTTCCACCTTCAAATAGTGGCCCTGTTTTGAGAGTTGAACATGCGAATGAAGTGCTCGATGTCACCCCCTAGCCCGATAAATAACTCTTCTACATTTCATGATAGTCCTGTCTCTGAAGACTTACCCGTGGAGGCAGTTCCTCTTGCAATTTCTTCTCAGATATCCTCAGCTTTACACTCTACTCCACATTCCCTTATCTCTAATCCTGTTGCTTTTGTTGGGGCTTCTCAGCCTTTGGAGCATATTACTTTGGATCTTGTTACTGATGCTACTTTAGCTTTGGAATCTGAATGGAGCATCCAAAAATACAGTAGAAAAAGAGGCAAAAGGAAGTTTGAGCTCTCTAAGTTGAAAACCTCTAACATAATTAATGTCACTTACCATTCTGATGGAGAACACCTACACCTTCCCCCTAGGATCACTAGGAGGGGTGTTATGGGTCATCATGCTTACATCTTGGTGTGGAACATTAGGGCAGTGGTGAACCCCCACTCCCTTAATTGTTTAAAATATCTATGTAGGGTCCATAAGCCTGTCATATTTGCTAACTTGGAACCTTTGGTGGCTGTCCAAAAGGATAAGATAGTTAAAAAATTCAAAAATTACCAACATTATAGCAATCAGAACAATAAAATTTAGATTTTTTTGGAAGAGAGATATTCAACTAAGCATCATTGAGGAGGATATGCAATTTGCTATTGTTTATTATA